CAAGTAATCATGCAGTTTATAATAGAATATTTTCCATCTTCCAACTCCAGCTGTTCAAAGTAGCATGAAATTCATTTAAAAACTTTCAGACATATTGGACAAAGAGTGTTTTAAACCAAAATTTTGTAGTACAAATAAAGCTTTATCTGCCCAGTCATCAGTACAATGGAATGCCTACCAGGAAGTGCTAGCTGGGAGTCACTCCACTGCAGGCATTTAATTTACACCTGGCTTACTTTCCTTAAAAACCAACCCTAATTACAGACAGGTATAATTACCTAAAGTTTGAATGATTTCTTTTTGCATGCATCTGTGTATTCACTTCAGATATGCTTAAGCTTTTTGTTTGTCTTTTATTATGTCCCTAAAACGTTAGATCTTTGAGGAAAATGAGATAGTACCTCATCAAGTTAAATTGAAATATCTTTTTCATCGTAGACTATATCAATGCAACTTACATGATTTTATTATACATATCTCATCTTGATTTTATAGGGTTGCTATGCCTCTACTTAAAAGCAACCAAAACATTTCAAAATGTTAGAAAAGTTCTTAGGTGTAAGATTCTCTCTGTCTAAATAAAAATGAGCAATGAGTCACACTGATGGATTACCAATTACACATTTTTTCCTCTTAGATGGCTACATAATATGAACTCATTTGTCAAAAATATTTAAAATTATTTTATTTTTAAAATTTTGGGAATCAGTGTAATACTTGTACATTTTCATGGAGTATAATATCTTTTATTTATTTATTTTTTATTTTTTAATTTTTTTAAACTTTTATTTAGTAAATATAATTTTCCAAAGTACAGTTTATAGATTACAAAGGCTTTCCCCCATAACTTCCCTCCCACCCGCACCCCTCCCATCTCCCACTCCCTCTCCCATTCCATTCACATCAAGATTCATTTTCAATTATCTTTATACACAGAAGATTGATTTAGTACATATTAAGTAAAGATTTCACCAGTTTGCACCACACAGAACATAAAGTGTAAAATACTGTTTGAGTACTAGTTATAGCATTACTTCACACTGGATAACACATTAAGGACAGAGATCCCACATAAGGAGTAAGCACACAGTGATTCCTGTTGTTGACGTAACAATTTGACACTCTTGTTTATGGCATCAGAAATCTCCCTAGGCTCTAGTAATGAGTTGCCAAGGCTATGGAAGCCTCTTGAGTTCACTGACTCTTATTTAGACAAGGTCATAGTCAAAGTGGAAGTTCTCTCCTCCCTTCAAAGAAAGGTACCACCTTCTTTGATGGCCCGTTCTTTCTACTGGGATCTTACTCACAGAGATCTTTTATTTAGGTCCTTTTTTTTTTTCTTTTTTGCCAGAGTGGCTTTCCATACCTAAAATACTCTCATGGGCTCTTCAGCCAGATCCGAGTGCCTTAAGGGCTGATTCTGAGGCCAGAGTGCTATTTAGGACATCTGCCCTTCTATGAGTCTGCTGTGTATCCCACTTCCCATGCTACCTATATTTTATATAGTCTAAGTATTGTATAAACTAAAATATAGAACACTAGGAGTATGCTATCAGTAATTACACTACCAATCTCAGTGATTATAATATATTAGGTCTATTTGTTCTACATTATAATATAAATATGAAGTCACTTTGTTTAATTTTTTTGTCTGAATCATCAGTCTATTCAAGAAAGTGAAGCATTAAACTCTCCCACTATTTTTGTACTTTATCTCTCTGTTTAGTTTTAATAATGAAAAAAGAAATAGTGGCCTGTGATGCCACTTAGAATGACCTAATAAATATGTAACTGGAATGTCAAAAGGCAAAAAGAATGAAGAAAGGGAAAAATATATGAATAAATATTGGTTGAAAATTCTCAAGCTCAATGATATATACAAATCCAAATATCCAGATTATCAACAAACTCCAAGTACATAAGAAAAAGAAATGACAATAAGTCAGATAATAATCAAAATGCTCTAAAAAGCCACAAAGAAAAACACTTTAAAACAATTGAGGACAAATTCTTTTCTCCTCAGATATAATGCAAGCAAGAAGACAGCAGCATGTCATAAAAGAAAAAGAAATGATCAACTCTGAATTCTATATGCAGCAAAAACATCATTTAAACCCAAAAGTGAAATGAAGACAAAAATTTATAGCATAATAGCTAATATTATAATTGGAATTTATAACACATGTTGAAGTAAAGTTATGACCAAAATATTATAAAGGTCAGAAGAGGATAAACAGTAGCTGAGAGACTCTTCTATCAAAACGATGTGTTGGGGCTGGTGCTGTGGCACAGCAGGTTAATGTCCTGGCCTGAAGTGCCGGAATCCCATATGGGCACCAGTTCGAGACCTGGCTGCTCCTCTTCCAATCCAGCTCTCTGCTGTGGCCTGGGAAAGCAGTAGAAGATGGCCCAAGTCCTTGGGCTCTGCATCAATGTGCGAGACTCAGAAGAAGTTCCAGGAGGCTTCATATCAGTGCAGCTCCTGCTGTTGCGGCCAATTTGGGAGTGAAACATTGGATGGAAGACCTCTCTCTCTCTTTCTCTCTGTCTCTCCCTCTCCCTCTCTCCCTCCATCTCTCCTCTCTCTGTGTAACTCTGACTTTCAAGTAAATAAAGAAATCTTAAAAAAAACTATGTGTTACCATTTGAGATAAAAGATAAACTATGAACTGTGATGTAATATTCCCATAATCTTACATAAAATTAAAGTAAAAAAAGAGTTACAGCTAATAATAAAATAAACAATATTAAATTTAACCACAACAAAAATATGAGGTTAATCAAAAATAACTCATCTCTCATCAAAGACAAACCCGGGACCTGATGTCTTCATTAAAAAATTCTACCAAACATTAATAGAGGAAATAATGTCAACACTTCAAAAACTCTTCTAAAAGTTAAAGAAGGAATACCTGTAAACTCATTTTGCAATACCAGCATTACCATGATACTTAAAGGCAGTGCTCCTATGAGAAAAGAAAATATTTATTGGACAATACCCTGATCAATATAGATTCATAGATTCAAAAGTCTTTAACTAAATACCAGCAAACTGAATTCAGTGGCACATATAAAAAAATCAATCACCATGGTAAAGTGGGTTGTGTCCCAGAGATGTATAGATGTTTCAATGTATGCAAATATGTAAGTGTGATAGACCACATTAGAAGAATGAAGGACAAAAATCATATATCATCCTAAAGGAGATACAAAACAAACAATAGGAAATATATGGAAAAATGGCAGAATCAAGTCATTACTTTTCATTAATAACAATGAATATAAATTGATTAAATTCTCCAATTAAAAGATACACACTGGCTGAATGGTTTAAAAAACAAAATCCATCTATAGGCTGCCTACAAGAAACACACCTCACCAACAAAGATACACACAGGCTGAAAGCAAAGGATGGAAAAAATGTATGAAAATAAAATAAAAAAAAGAGCAGAAGTAGTTATCCGATCAGACAAAAATGACTTAAGACAAAACTGTCAAAAGTGACAAAAAAGGGCATTATGTATGCCATGGCTGAGGAAGAACTTCTAAGATCAATCCCATTCACAATAGCTACAAAAACAATCAAATACCTTGGAATAAACTTAACCAAGGGTGTTAAAGATCTCTACGATGAAAATTACAAAACCTTAAAGAAAGAAATAGAAGAGGATACCAAGAAATGGAAAAATCTTCCATGCTCATGGATTGGAACAATCAATATCATCAAAATGTCCATTCTCCCAAAAGCAATTTACAGATTCAATGCAATACCAATCAAGATACCGAAGACCTTCTTCTCAGATCTGGAAAAAATGGTGCTGAAATTCATATGGAGGCACAAGAGACCTCGAATAGCTAAAGCAATCTTGTACAACAAAAACAAAGCCGGAGGCATCACAATACCAGATTTCAGGACATACTACAGGGCAGTTGTAATCAAAACAGCATGGTACTGGTACAGAAACAGATGGATAGACCAATGGAACAGAATTGAAACACCAGAAATCAACCCAAACATCTACAGCCAACTTGTATTTGATCAAGGATCTAAAACTAATTCCTGGAGCAAGGACAGTCTATTCAATAAATGGTGCTGGGAAAATTGGATTTCCACGTGCAGAATCATGAAGCAAGACCCCTACCTTACACCTTACACAAAAATCCACTCAACATGGATTAAAGACCTAAATCTATGACCTGACACCATCAAGTTACTAGAGAACATTGGAGAAACCCTTCAAGATATTGGCACAGGCAAAGAATTTCTGGAAAAGACCCGGGAGGCACAGGCAGTCAAAGCCAAAATCAACTATTGGGATTGCCTCAAATTGAGAAGTTTCTGTACTACAAAAGAAACAGTCAGGAGAGTGAAGAGACAACCGAGAGAATGGGAAAAAATATTTGCAAACTATGCAACAGATAAAGGGTTAATAACCAGAATCTACAAAGAGATCAAGAAACTCCACAAAAACAAAGCAAACAACCCACTTAAGAGATGGGCCAAGGACCTCAATAGACATTTTTCAAAAGAGGAAATCCAAATGGCCAACAGGCACATGAAAAAATGTTCAAGGTCATTAGCAATCAGGGAAATGCAAATCAAAACCACAATGAGGTTTCACCTCACCCCGGTTAGAATGGCTCACATGCAGAAATCTACCAACAACAGATGATGGCGAGGATGTGGGGAAAAAGGGACACTAACCCACTGTTGGTGGGAATGCAAACTGGTCAAGCCACTACGGAAGTCAGTCTGGAGATTCCTCAGAAACCTGAAGATAACCCTACCGTTCGACCCAGCCATCCCACTCCTTGGAATTTACCCAAAGGAATTTAAATTGGCAAACAAAAAAGAGGTCTGCACCCTAATGTTTATTGCAGCTCAATTCACAATAGCTAAGACCTGGAACCAACCTAAATGCCCATCAACGGTAGACTGGATAAAGAAATCATGGGATATGTACTCTTTAGAATACTATACCGCAGTAAGAACAACGAAATCCAGTCATTTGCAACAAAATGGAGGAATCTGGAACACATCATGCTGAGTGAAATAAGCCAGTCCCAAAGGGACAAATACCATATGTTCTCCCTGATCGGTGACGACTGACTGAACACCAAGAGGGAAACCTGTTGGAGTGAGGTGGACACTATGGGAAATGGTGGCTTGATCAGCATAGCCCTGACTGTTAATGAACAACTTAATACATTATCCCTCTTAGTAGTTTTTTTATCTGTTCTACTTAATATGACTGGTTTAGTTCTGTAATTGATGCACAGTTATTCTTAAGTGTTGAAAATTAACTGAAATGTGATCCCTGTTGAACATGGGAGTGGGAATGGGAGAGGGAATAGATGTATAATTTGGGACATGCTCAGGCTGACTTGCCCCAAGTGGTGGAGTTGGAAACATACCAGGGGATTCCAATTCAATCCCATCGAGGTGGCATGTACCAATGCCATCTCACTGTTCCAGGTGATCAATTTCAGTTCACAGTTGGTCATGGTGGAGGGACTGAGAGTCAAAGGGAGCACATAGACAAGTCTAGTACCTGCTAACGCTAACCGATGGAGTAAATAAAGGGGAGAGTGATCCAACATGGGAAGTGAGATACTCAGCAGACTCATAGAATGGCAGATGTCCTAAATAGCACTCTGGCCTCAGAATCAGCCCTAAAGGCATTCGGAGCTGGCTGAAAAGCTCATGAGAGTATTTCAGGCATGGAAAGCCAAGACACTCTGGCAAAAGATCTCTGTGAGTGAGATCCCAGTGGAAAGAACAGGTCTTCAAAGAAGGAGGTACCTTTCTCTGAAGGGAGGAGAGAACCTCCACTTTGACTATGACCTTGTCTAAACAAGATAAGAGTCGGAGAACTCAGAGGGCTTCCATAGCCTTGGAAACTCATGACTGGAGCATAGGGAGACTACTGATGCCATAGACAGGAGTGTCAATTGGTAAAGTCAACAACAGGAGTCACTGTGCACTTACTCCTCATGTAGGATCTCTGTCCTTAATGTGCTGTGTATTGAGATTTAATGCTATAACGAGTACTCAAACAATATATTTCACTTTGTGTTTCTATGGGGGTGCAAACTGTTGAAATCCTTACTTAATGCATACTAAACTGGTCCTCTGTAAAAAAAAAAAAAAAGAAATTATCAATTCCCAACTTGACTCTCACTGGGATTAAACATGACAATAGGTCTGCTCTGATTTCATCATCATTTAAAAAAAAATCATCTATTATTTTTCACTTTATGTTTCTGTGTGGGAGCAAACTGTTGAAATCCATACTTAATGTATACTAAGCTGAGCTTCTGTATATTAAGATAATCGAAAATGAATCTTGATGTGAATGGAAGGGGAGAGGGAGTGGGAAAGGGGAGGATTGTGGGTGGGAGGGACGGTATGGGGGGAAGCCATTGTAATCCATAAGTCGTACTTTGGAAATTTATATTCATTAAATAAAAGTTAAAAAAAAAAGGGCATTATGTAATGATTAGGGGATCAGTTCAAAGGAAGTTATGACTGCAGAAATGTATATGCAGCAAATCTTAGGGCACCAAGCAATATATAAAATAAATGTTAATGGATATAAAGGGGGACATGTGCTCCAATACAATATTAATGGGCAGGCTCCAACACCTTACTTTCATCAATGGACAGATCAACTAGACAAAAAATCAACAAAGAAACACAGAGCTAATTTACAGTAATGATCAAATTGATCTAAATTGATGTCTGGAGAACATTTCATTCCACAGTTGCATAATATAGATTATTTTCAAAGTGCATGGAATATTCTCAAGGATAGAACATATACTAGACCATAAAACAAGTCTCAGCAAATTAAAAAAATTGAAATCAGCTTATGGTATCTTTACTGACCACAAAGGAATGAAGTTTGAAATTAACAACATAAGAAACTTTAGAAAATATACAAACACATTGAAACTGAACAACATGTTCTTAATGAACAGTGGGTCATAGAAAAAATCAAGAAAAGTCATAAATTTCTTGAAATGAATGAAAATAACAGCACAACATATTAGCACTTATGGGACACAGGAAAAGCAGGGTTAAGAGGAAAGCTTATAGCGATAAGTACCTACATCAAGAAATTAGAAAGATATCAAATATATGGCATAACAATGCATCTCAAGGACCTACAGATATAAAAACAAATCAAATCACAAATTAGTGGGAGAAAAAATAATAAAAATTAGAGAATAAATAAGCAAAATAAAAATTTTTTTAAAAAACTATATAAAAGGTCAGAAAAATTAAGAGGCGTTTCTTTGAATGGTTAAACAAAATTGATAAACCACCTGCCACTAACCAAAAAAGGTGGGGATAAGACCCAAATTAATAAAATAACAAATGAAAATGGAGATATTACAACTGATACCATTGAAATAAAAAGAATCATCAGGATTCACTACAAATAGCTTTAACCAAAAAATTGGATAATCTAGAAGAAATGGATAAATTCCTAAACATATAAAATTGACCATAATTGAGACATGAAGACATAGGAATTTTAACTAGACCAATAAACAAGATAAAGATTGAATCAGTAATAAATATCTTCCCAAAACAGAAAAGTCCAGAACTGGATATCTTAACTGCAGCATTCAACCAAACTTTTATGGAAGATCTAATCACATTTTTCTTAAACTATTCAAAACAATTTAAAAGTACAGAATCCTCCCAACCTCTTTCTCAAGGCCACCATCACCTCAATTATGAACTAGAAAAGTATTTAACAAAGAAAGAGACCTATAGACCAATAGTGCTGATAGAACACAGACGTAAAAATACTCTACAAAACACTAGCTAAATAAATCCAACAACACATCAAAAAGATCATCCACCTAGAAAAATTGGGTTTATCCTGGGGATGTTTTAATAAATACAAATCAATAAACATGATACATCACATTAACAAATGGAAGACTAAAAACTACATGATTATCTCAAAAGATGTACAGAACATTTGATAAAATGCAATATACTTTCATCATAAAAACCTTAAACAATTTGGACATAGAAAGAAAATACCTCAACATAATCAAAGTAATATATGACAAATTCACAGCCAGCATTATACTGAATGTGGAAAAGGTGAAAGCATTTCTACTACCATCCTATAACAGAAAAATAGGATGCCACTTCCAACAATGCCATTCCATAAAATGCTAGAAGTTTTAGTGGCAGACATTAGGAAAGAGAAGGAAATCTAAGAGATACAAATTGGAAAGAGGGAGTCAAATTATCCTGATAGGCAAATGGCATGATCCTACAAGTAGGGGAACCAAAAGACTCTACTAAGAGACTATTGGAACTCATAAGAGAGTTTTGCAGAGTTATAGGATGTAAAATCAATACAGAAAAGTCAACACATTCATATACACCAAAAATGTTATGGCTGAGAAAGAATTTGTAAAATACATACCATTCACAATAGCTACAAAAAACTTTAAATACCTTTGGATAAATTAATCAAACATGTGAGAGAGCTCACAATGAAAATTAAGAAAATTAAGGAAAGAAAAGTTATAGAAAATTTAGGAAAGCAAAAGACACAATAAATGGAAAAATCTTTAATGTCATGGATTAATATAAAAAATTCTTATTCTACCAAAAAATGTACAGAGTAAATGCAATCTAAATCAAAACACAAAGGACATTCTTTTCTTTTATTTATTTATTTATTTTTTTGACAGATAGAGTAGACCGTGAGAGAGAGACAGAGAGAAAGGTCTTCCTTTGCCGTTGGTTCACCCTCCAATGGCCGCAATGGCTGGTGTGCTGTGGCCGGCGCACCACGCTGATCCGATGGCAGGAGCCAGGTACTTCTCCTGGTCTCCCATGGGGTGCAGGGCCCAAGCACTTGGGCCATCCTCCACTGCACTCCCTGGCCACAGCAGAGAGCTGGCCTGGAAGAGGGGCAACCGGGACAGAATCCGGTGCCCTGATGGGGACTAGAACCCGGTGTGTCAGTGCCGCTAGGTGGAGGATTAGCCTAGTGAGCCGCAGCACTAGCCAGGACATTCTTTTAAAATCTAGAAAAAAAGATTGTAAAAACCAAGTGAAAACATGAAACCCCAAATAGCTAAACAATCTTAAACAATAAAAACAAAGCCTGAAGTGTCACAATTACATATTTAATATTTAATATAAGGATTTTGTGATCAAAACAACCTGTTCCTGTCACATACATGGACCTATGGACCAAAAAAACAGAATAAAAATATCAGAAATTAATCCACAAATCTACAACCAGATAATCTTTTACAAATGAACTAAAATCATTCTAAAGAGAAAGGACAGGATTGCGCAGATCCTTTGTATGGTCCTTTGTGTGGTTCATGTGCCAATGTACATGAGGATTGCAGCCACAGGGGGTTAACCCTAGGCATTGAGCACCTTGGAAGAAGGGAGGTGAAGTTGTGATTAAATCAACAGATATTTTGGTAAATTGCAGGATATAAAATCAACACAGAAAAATCAATAGCCTTTACATACACAGACAATTCCATGTCTGAAAAAGAACTTGTAAGGTCAGGCTCATTCACAATAGCTAAAAAAATTAAATATCTGGGAATAAATTTAACCAAAGAAGTGAAAGATATTTATGATGAACTTAGAAAACATTAAACAAAGAAATAGAAGACACGAAAAATGGAAAATTTTTCCATGTTTGTGGATTGGAAGAATAAATATAATCAAAATGTCCACACTATTGAAAGCAATTTACAGATTCAATGCTATCCCAATTAAAATAACCAACAACATTCTTTTCAAATCTAGAAAAAAATGATGTTAAAATTCATATGGAAACATAAGAAACCTTGAATAGCTAAAGCAATCTTATACAAGAAAAACAAAGCTGGAGGCATCAGATTATCTGATTTCAGGGTATAACCACAGGGCAGTTATAATCAAAACAACCTGGTACTGGTAAAAAAAAAAAACATATTTTTAGACCAATGGAACAAAATAGAAGCCCCAGAAATCAATCTATGCATATATAACCAACTTATCTTTGACACAACAGCTCAACTCAATCCCTAGAGCAAGGACAGTCTCTTCAACAAATGGTGTTGGGAAAACTGGATCTCCCTGTAAAGAACTATGAAACTAGATTCCTACCTTACACCTTACACAAAATACCCACTCAGAATGGATCGAAGACATAAATCTATGACCCAATACTATCAAATTACTGGATAACATTGGGGAAACTGCAAGATATTGGCATAGGCAAAGACTTCTTGGAAAAGACCCCAGAAGCACAATCAAAGCCAAAATTGACATCAAGTTGAAAAGCTTCTGCATTGGAAAAGAAACATTCAGCAAAGTGAAGAGGCAACTGATGAAATGGGAGAAAATATTTGCAAACTATGCAATATCCAGAAATCTATAAAGAATTCAGAAATTTAACAATAACAAAACAAACAATCTGGTTAAGAAATGGGAAAAAGACTTAACAGGATTTTTCAAGAGAAGAAATTCAGTCTCAAGCAGACACTTGAAAAAATGCTCAGGATACAAGCCATCAGGGAAATGCAAATCAAAGGCATGATAGGATGTCTCCTCACTCCAGTTAGAAGGGCTTTCATACAGAAATCGACAAACAACAGATGCTGCCAGGGATGTGGGAAAAAAGTTACCCTAATCTACAGTTGGCAGAAATATAAACCGGTGCAGCCACTGTGGAAGACTGTATGTCGATATCTCAGAAACCTCAGTATAGACCCACCTAATGATCCAGCCATC